CAAGTCGTAGAGCCAGCGTTTGTCCGAAGACAATCTTCCGTGGTCACATGGCCATCGTAACTCTAAACGGATCGTTATGTTTTGTTATGTTTTCACCAATATGGTACCTATTTATCTACTTGCATTTGCATGCTTTCGAACTGCTAGGTTGGCAGGAGCAGGGACAAGCGACGGGAGCTCACTCTGTCACATGGATTTGATCTTACGACTGCAGGTATTTCTGATTTTGCAGCATAACTTCTGCGGTTTAACCTGCAGTGCCACCACATCCTCAACTGCTTCTTAAAATCAGTCAAGAGTAGAAAGAGATGGCAACTTGACAGTGGCTTTTGCAACCTACAAGCAACACACAAGCAGGCCTTTTCCTGCATGACATTTCTGAAACTGTTGGTATTTTTAACAGGCCCTTCCTGAAAAATCTTAACAGGCTCGTAAAAAGCCAGGCAGTCGGTCCCTCAGGCAGGCAGTCCTCAGTCTCTGCAGGGGCTTCAAGAGTTAAAGTCAAGACCGTGAAATCAGCCTGTTTATGCAACAAAAAGCCAGAGCAGGTCTTTCAGGCTTGGGGATCATATGATCACAATATCAGGGTCCAGTCAGAGGCCACAGGTTGCGCCACTTGAACAGGGCTGCTCTTGTATTCTGTTATTTTAGTTCCGAGATCCCTACCTTTTCCAAAATGCTCACAAGTCTGGTTGAAAGGCTATCTCCACGGCCTCTCACATTAGATTGTGCAGTTGGGCGACCCTAGAGTTAAAGGCAAGGAGGACCATCCCAAGAGGCAGAGGGCGAAGACGGAGGGCCAGCTAACTGGATTTCTTCAGAAAAAGGATTCTGCAAAAGGATTTCCTTTCAAGGGTTGCCCATTCAACTTCCATGAATGAAACCATGCTTGCTGATTATATCAGGCCAAAACAACAAAAGCAGAAATAGCTTTTTCATTCAGAATAACCAGGATAAGTCAGGAGGCACACTTTGTTACGACCAGCTCTCCACCATCCTCTACCATGATTTACACTGTACAGGAAGAGGAAAATAAGAAATTAGGGAAATTTCATTGTGTCATGAAGTGACCATGGAAAAAAAGTCACCACCATCTCGATTTCTCTAAAACTCCATTAACGAAACAACTGGCGGCTTTAAACTTTACAGCTGGAAGGATCTCCATGCTGTAAAAGTTAGTCTTAGCCACTAAAAGGAAAGTGGAATGGAGTTAATAGGTGGTACCTATGTATCTATTTGCATTTGCATGGTTTCAAACTGCTAGGTTAGCAGGACCTGGGACAAGCGACGGGAGCTCACTCAGTTGGGTGGATTCGATTTTATGACGGCTGGTCTTCTGACCTTGCAGCCCAGAGGCTTTAACCCGTAGCGCCTCCATGTCCCATGAATTGGGGCAGAGATGAAATAAAAGTGAATAGTCAAAACTCATCAATGATTTCACCAACAACGGCAATAATTCTCGTGTGTAGGCTTCCCTTGTCTACACTCTGTGATGAAAATTGGAACTGAAACATTTCCCACATCCCTTGCATTTGTTTGGTTTCTTTCCAGTGTGGATTCTCTCATTCCTCATGATATACAACTCAGAAAAAGTTTTTAAAAATCCCTGCATTCCATTTATATAACCTCTTTCTTCTGTCCCTGAAGGTGTAAATTCTGAGAAAAATGTTTCCTGTACTCCTGGCATTTATATGTTTTCTCTCCAATGTGGACTTTCATTCTGCCAACTCCTGCGACGTTGCTGGAAGCAGTTGTATTGGCTCTTGCCTTTTCACTGGACCATTTCAGCGACATGGAGAGGGGTTATTTGCTGCTTGGGTAACAGCCTATCCTCCATATTATTTTACCCAGGCTTCGTGCTCTGGAGAGGACACTCCAGCTTCGCATACAGCGTCGAAACAACACGGGAAGTAGCAGTTACCGGTTATAAGTCTCTGCTCAATTGGCGTAGAGCAGGACGCCAGGGTCTACTTCTGACGGAGGGAGAGGTCATTGCCCCTCACTAGGTAGATACCGCCCGCCTTAAGCTGGGCAGCCCCCAGCCAGTAAGGTGCTACCTCGCCACGGTCTGTTAACCTCACGGGGTGCGTGGGGTTTAGGGTGAAACCCGACAAGCAGATCGAGAACCGTGCACCATGCAACAATCATAAGAAAACTTCTGCCCTAAAGCTGGGCACCTGGAATGTACGGACAATGACCCCTGGCTTTCCTGACTACGGCTTTCCTAACGACCTGCAAAAAATAGACGATGTGATGGCTTCTCTCGAGTGTGGACTCTCTGGTGTGTCACGAGGTTTGAATTGCGATTAAAAGATTTCCCACACTTCTGGCATTTGTATGGTTTCTCTCCAGTGTGGACTATCTGGTGTCTGAGAAGATCTGAATTTTGGGCAAAATATTTCTTACACTCCTGGCATTTGTATAGTTTGTCTCCTGTATGGACTCTCCGGTGTCTCAGGAGGTTTGAATTGTGATTAAAAGTTTTCTCACGCTCCTGGCATTTGTGAGGTTTGTCTCCTGTGTGGACTCTCTGGTGTGTCAGAAGGTGTGAACTGCATTTAAAAGATTTTCCACATTCCTGGCATTTGTATGGTTTTTCTTCCGTGTGGACACTCTGGTGAGTCAGAAGGTTTGCATTTTTTGCAAAACTTTTTCCACACTCTTGGCATCTGTATGGTTTCTCTCCAGTGTGAACTCTCTGGTGTCTCAGAAAGTGTGAACTGCGTTTAAAAGATTTTCCACATTCCTGGCATTTG